CCCCCCCCCCCCCCCCCCCCCAGTCAAACACCCGTCGCCTTCGTAACATCCCTATATGTGTAGTTCTAATTTTTTCTTAAAATAAAACATGCATGAGACTAACCAAACGGCTCAGGAACATCAACACACACGTTGACAAAGTTGTTTCGTAGTCAGATCGGATCGGACTTCGATATTCGAAATAAAATGAATTAAGGCGCATTCATGCAAGAATTCTGAATTATCCATGCATTTATCGATCAAAACATCGCGGTTGTCGCTGCATTTTTCGATTGATATACTTCAATTGGACGTCACTTTGTCAGCTTCTTGACATGTCTTGTTTTTATATTTATTTGGTTAAACATTTCAACTTGAATGAGAAATTTATTTTGTTAAAGGATTCTTCGGATCGGATTGAAATTCTTTATCACAACTCGGATCGGATTCGGATCGGATTTTAAACATTAGCCAATTGTCGGATTATAAACGTCCAATCCGATCCGATGCACACCTCTAGTACCGAAATCCTTGCCCGGCACATTATGGTGTGGGGTCTAATGCTTGTTCTAATCAAATATTGTTCTCTTTTTTTTCACGTTTTTTAAAGACAATCTTTGCGTTCCTTTTGGAAGTGGATAAACTCACGTGGGAGAGTTGAGCCGTATAGAAGACAATGTCCCTGTAACATGCATTGACGACAGCGCCACACACGTTATCATAATATCGTCCTAGCGTGCAGTAAACACTTGCTTAGCTCATGTTTATTCTACACCCAGATGAGTCTGTAACAGCTCACGACATCTTTGCACACATAGTTTACATGTCTATCTGATTCTCATCCCCGCGTGTTTTGCGCGCCTCATGTGAATGTTATTTTCAGTTTTACCTAGGGAGAACAGTTTAGAAGTGATAGAGCTATGCAGTATAAAAAAGTTAGTTTCGTCTAGGTTTCCTTTCCTCCTATTAACACTGGATCAATAAGAGATGATCCTTATTGGACCTCTACTCTAGTGAGAAGAGTTCAGAATTGATAGAGCTATCCAGTATGAATAAAGTTATGAAAGTTAGTTTAAGTTTACGTTTCCTCCTGTAGTAACACTGGATCAATAAGATATGATCCTTACTGGACCTCTAGTAAGAGCAGTTTAGAACTGATAGAGCTATATCCAGTATAAATAAAGTTAGTTTAGTTAAGGTTTCCTCCTGTAGTAATTACACTGCATGGACGATAAGAGCCGAGTCAGAGACGAATGACGATCCTTACTGGACCTATAGGGAGAACAGTTTAAAACTGATAGAGCTGTCTATAGTATAAAGGAAGTCAGTTTAGTTTAGGTTTCCTCCTGCAGTAACAGTACTGCGTGGATCAATAAGAGACGATCCCTACTGGACCTCTATGGAGAACAGTTTAGAACTGATAGAGCTATCCAGTATAAATAAAGTTAGTTTAGTTTAGGCCTCCTGTAGTAACACTGGATCAATAACGACTCTTACTGGCTCTGGATGACCGCTTACTGGACATCTAGCTAGGAAGAAAAGTTTGGAACTGATAGAGCTAACTAGTATAACTGAATAAAGTTAGTTTAGTTATTCATTAATTCAGTACAGGTCACAGGTGAAGAACTCTATTCACTGAATCAACACAATTGCGCGAATGAAGCTTGCAAAAACAAAGTTGTTTACAATAATATATTGCATGCCAAAGTTTATTTTCCCAACTATTTAAATCATGTGTGCGTGCTTGCTAAAAAATTGAATCAACAGATCCAACAGGTGAAAATTCCTGAGCCGTCAAGATAATTCAAGATTTATGATAACACCGCGCATACTGTTTTGTCAAGCGCTGTTGATACAGAGCCCGTCAGTATACTGCGCGACTTTAATTTGTTGCCACGCGCGAAATATGCTAAAAATGGTTTAGGCTATCGTTCTATCAACATATCGGTTGATTAAAGTGTTGCAGTGTAAAGTTTATCTGATCAAATTAACGCAGGATGCTTTAAGAATGTAACAGTGGTCGACATTATAGGAACTATAAGTAGTTGTTCGCTATTGGTACTGGCCATGTATTATTTAAAAAAATAAACTGCTTGAAGAATTATAGCCTTTCTCACGCCGCCATTTTTGGAGTACTGCATGCCTTTTCCAAATCTGAGATTGTACGCAGTGAATAAGAGATTTGTATAACTATATTAAATATTTGAAAAAATGTTTTCACATCGCTTAGATTTTTCACGTCGTTTTCACAAAAAAGTACCCCAAAAATGGCGAATTTGGCCGAGAAACGCTAATTTCTACACTGCACTATCAAAATCATATTCAACAAAATAAAGAAAATGGGAAATTAAGAGCATTTAGCAAAATGACTTTGATAAATATATACCTTTGATCTGAATGAAGTTGGAATGAACAGCATTCTGATTGGCCAGTAGCTTACAGCTGAATATGAAAATCACGCAACCTATAGTGAGCCAGCGGTAATTTTATAGCAAGAGGCAGTTTTAAAT